AAATAAATTCGAATATGATAATGCTAATGATGGCAATTGTAATTATCTTCATGCCATATTAGTCATCTCAAACAGCCTAGACCATCAAGGAAAATTACATTATAAAAGCTCGAGAAACATGTTTTTAATATATTAACATTAAAATTGTCTATCTAATTAAATAATCTATCGGCTAAAAATTTTTTCGTGGTTTAAATCCAAGAGAGATTTCACATAAAGTAAACACAAATTGAGAAAAACGAAAAACCCCAACTCTACATCTAACTTTTCAATGGACTAAAACTCTTAGATATCATTAAGTGCGAAATAAATTGAAAATGTTATTAAAAAGTATTTTCTGTTAAAACGTGCTACGAAGTTGCTTTTTGTAGCTTTTTTTACTACAAATTGTACGCACCCAAAAAATATAATAAAATTCATATCTTTTGCTTCAAAGGTTCTTACACAAAAATACAAACCAAATAACTGTATATTTAACATGTTAATATTTTTTTATTTAAAATTTACTGAATTTACACTTAATATCTTAAGTTACTTAAATATAATTTGAAGACTTGCTATTGATTTTAAAGATACTATAATTTTGTAGGCACTTCATTGAAAGTTATTTTATTTCGTGGTTTAAATCACTATTAAAACTCATTTTAATTATTGGAAAATTGAAAATTAATAGAAATATATTAAGGTTCACGGATTTGACGTATATTAGTTATTTAAGTATAACTACGAGTATCGTATTTATACTTGAATAGCTACATAATATATTTTCAATTTGAATATTGAAATAATAATATAGAATTAATACAATGTTTCAGATTACCGAAACATTCAACTTAAAAGTGATGAGTCTTTGCGTAGATTCTTTTAATATATGACTAATGCTGTTAGCCCTATGTGATTAACCACGTCTTCGGGAAGGGTGTATGATTTGAATGAGATCTTCTTTGAAATGCGGATATGAGATCATCTTCTCCCGTAAAATGTTGTGTGTGTGTCGTTGATATTTCGCCATTTTCTATTAAGCGGTACTGTGAACGGAAACTCGATTGTTTGGTTCTTAAAAGTAACTGTTCTGTGGAGATGGTATTGAGGCTTTCCACCAGTTTCCGAACGATCCTTTCGTATTTTTATTTTTTTTAATTTTTCGAACGATATATTTTTTGTTTTTAGAATGTTGAATAGGCTATTTGGAATTTACCCGGTCTAGATATCGGTACTTGTTGTGACGACCTCTTTCTATTCGACAAAAGAACAACAAACATTTAGTGAATATGAGGATTAACGAATAAGTAATCAGTGCAGTAAGAAGTTTCAGAAACCTGGCTAGTAGACTCCCGATGATTATTGAGGCGTTGTATTGCCCAATTTAAACGGAGTGTGGGACGCTGGTTCATCCTTGATAAGTTATGGGATGACGCCCCTGGCCATACTGGGTAGAGCTAGGTCTCTTTTCCAAAAGCATGGCTTTACTGAACTTTGCAGTCATGTTGCTCCATAAACATTTTACACAGCACGGGTATGCTTAGCAGAACTTCTGTGAAAGTGCGTACACTTGTCATCTGCGACATTGTTCCAGGTTCTCCGCGGATTCTAGGAGTCTCTACTTTTAAACTAGAAGAGTAGCAAACAGCAAGCTAGATTGAAAGTTTTCCAGGGTCTAAGCTTTATATAACATATATATTGGCTAAAGATGAAATGGTCATTAAATATTGATCAATAAAGTTATTGTATAGCTGAGTTATATATAGTTGAGCAATAAGTATTTAACGTTTATATATATATATTGCAAACGCTGGCTGAACTTGGAACTTAAAGTACTCATTTAATAGGTTCATGAGTATCTGCGCGTGGTTTGCATTTGTTCGGAAAGGTTTGAACATGTCGCTATCCTCCACGTTGTTCGAGATTGGAGCCATTTGTCGGACGAGGGATGTATGTTCTAGCCAACGAGTATGTTCTTAGTATCCGATGGATTATTTGATTGTGAAGGTCTGGTGAAGCTGGATTCTTCTTGTCGAAAGAAGAAGATTTGGATGGGGTTATAATCCACGTAATGTTTAAAAGTTCTGAGGCCTCTTAACTTCAAGCGTTTTCACGAGATTCTCAACAAGTTGTATATCCTACCTGCCTTAACAAGGTGGTGTCCGATGTGTCCGAGGTATCTCAACCAACCAAAATATAAAATTCTGCTTTTAGGATACAGAGTTGGACCTAAATTTCTTAGGTGTCTGTGTATACCTGAAGCACAGTGAAGACTGTGACTAGGTTTCTTGGTGTAACCGCTACGACGCGGTCTACACGTGGATTGACATTTACTTTTTTTATGACCATGATAACCGTATGTAAATAAGTACAGTAACAAATAATAAATAGGAATGAAAAAGAGGATGGTACTGGTTGCTAGCTCTGGACTCTGTATATTATATATAGTGTACTGTTGTTAAGTTTTCATTATGATGAGTTTAGACAAAGATTTTTAAAGGTATAATAAGCGAAATAGTGTATTGTGTTACAAATGTTGTAGTGTTTATAGTGAATTTTATTTTTAAAACTTACCTTTAAAATATATTTTAAAAATAGCATACTATAACAAAAATTTTAACACAAATATTTTTGAACACTATCGAGATGCTGTGAATTGTTTATAAAATTAAAAGAGATAACAACCTTCTTGAGAATCTTTAACAGTTATGGTATTAGTTGAAAGAAAAGTCAAAATACAATCAATAAGAGTTAATTAAAGAATATATACACACAAATTATTAGTAATATGAAATATGTTATCAGGTAATGAAGTTCTTTTGATTCATAATATAATAAAACTCAGAATAATAAATATTTGTTTTTATATTTCCGATTCTTATCGTGTAAATTTTTATTTTATTAAGATATAATATTGCAAGTGAGTAAAATATGTACAACAATGTCTTCATCACTAATTTTGTTATTTATATATCTGCGCTTTAAAACGGGTTAACTAAAAATACAAGGTATCTGAGATCAGTCAACACATCAAGGAATCATGTGGAACATCACCACTGATTAAAAATAGAATCGTTTACTGGAATTCCGTTTATATAAAATGTTTTATTTTTTTATTTCATTTCAGAAACACTATGTATTAAATTGACGAGGCCGACTCTTAATACCTGATAATGTATCAAAAATATTTTTTTTCTTCAAAAATATTTATTTACGTAAATTTCTTTTATACCTTTGTTAATTATAATATTTATGCATAATTATTATTAATAAATAATAAATATTGAAATAAAAATATTCAAAGAAAGGAAAACATGTATATTGTACAAGCTATCGGATATTGTTAAAATGTATTGTCAAATTGTTACAAGGCAAGTCTAAAAGAAGTTATCTTATTTTTGGAGTAGACCGTCTTTTGGATATTTGAAAAGTTTTATAAGTTACGAATATAAAAATGAGCTTAGCGAAGAGGTAAGTCATCTCCGGCCAATTTGATTCATCTAGTTTGAACTTTACTTAGAATTCGTAACTCTCTACAATAACTTTCTCAGACACTTTTAATACAAGTATGCATAAAAAAACCATTATAGATGTCCTGATGTTTGATGATCAAATTATTCCAATTTATCTTATAAGTACCAAAAAATTGGCTAGCTCTAATTACATTTACATTTCATTTAAATAAAAGTATTGACATTATGATTACGTCACTATACTGACATGCGTTATATTAATATAAAATGGTGTGTTTAGTAAGATCCGGATGAATTTTTATGATTCTATCTTCAGTTCCTCTTTATTATGTGCAATTTAAAATACTCATGAAAATATAACACACGCGCTGAAGATTAATGTATCTTGAATTAAGAAACGAAACATCTTGTCCGAACACAGTTATTTTAGGGTTTTTAGGATAACATTGCAACGTTTTCTATATTGTATAAGTCTCTAAAATATTAACCCACATAAGGGTTATAAAATTTTAATATATTTATATACAAAAAAACAATTTAGCAAATTTATGTTAGTACTTATAACATTAAAATATATATTTAGCTTATTAAGATACAAAAATAATATGGAATTTTAAAAACTTATTCATAAATCTCTCAGCCAAGTAAATTTTTTTAAAGGAACAATTCATACAAAGTATAACAAACAATAGTTAGTCAGTAATAGTACTTAGAATTATCTTTGTTTTTTTCTATTATTTGACATACATACAAAGATGTTATAGTCTAATATTGGTGTTTGAGTAAATAATAATATAATATTAATTACTTTAAATAGATCACTATTCACAAAGAAAACAACACCATATTATTTTCATAGTAATTTCTACATATTTTATTTTCGTAAGTTTCCCTAATCTTCATCAGTTGGTCTGTACCATAACAAAATCGATACTAGAAAATAGGGTATTTCTTACTTTCTAACCTTTTGAAAGCCTATTGAAATTGAAATATACGAAGAAATTTCAAGAAAAGTAAGTGTTAATTACAAAAAGCTTACGAACGTAGACTTAGGTTTTCATTTACGGCGATTAATTCCTAGTGTGCTTACCACATTTAACTAAATAAAATATTATAAATACAGGTTAGATAAATGCTATGCAAGTCATAATACATTAAAAATCGCGAAGTTTCATGAGGAACAAGACTGAAAATTATATTTTGTATGAAGTGATATTACATAGATGTACAGATGACACTGCCAGGTGGTTACAGTATCTATTTTATTCAATTAGACATTATAATTTTGTTTCAGTTAATCTAAGACTGATTTCCACGCGAAGGAAGTTTTTTTTTAAAAAACTAATCTAGAATTGAATTTTGAATATTATTTTCCACCTTTATTGTTTAACCTATGAACACTTGTATAAGTTTGTAAGTATTTAACAAATATTGTACTTCAATAAATATAGTTAATTCTTTAATATATTTACATCTAAATACATATTAAGATTATCAAGTAAATTTTATAATATTTATTTTAAAATAAACTGATAAAAAAATTACCTGTAAGTTCTCAAATCGATGTGTCTCACAGACTGCTCGCAAGGGTCCGGGACATTTTTCAACGCATTGTTGCCAACAGTCTTCTTCTTTATCATTTTCATTATTTGTAGTGCTTCCACCCCCTCCTCCTTGATCATTTCGTGTTTCTAATCAAAAACATAACATATTGATATTATTCATCGAAAATTCCAGAATACGAGTATGTAGATTGAAATTTTCCACAATGTTCAACATTTTGAAAATTGTTGATCATTGAACGTGATTCCAGATTTAAAATATTTTTGTTAGTAAATATATTGAACCATTTTAATGAATCGAAACTTAGAATTAATCTAAAAATTATAATTTTTGCTAGAAAATGTGCAAATATAGAAACCTTCGAATTGAAGATCTCCAAATATTGACCAGAGTAAAAAAAATATATATGTATATACATATGTATAAGTTAAGATGAATGCAATGACATATTATGTCTATTAAAACAAGATTGGGCTTCAGGAGAAAGTTATACTTCAGAACGGAAACTCATCTATAGCATTACTTAGAAAGATCACTATGACAGAAAGATATTTGATTTATCAATTTGATGTCAATGGATCCTTTGGAAGAAATCACCTAGACAGGCATTTAGGCTGTGTTTGGCCATTACGACGCTTATACAAATATATCTGTCACAAATAAATGTACATCTGAAAGAGCCTTTGGTAATATTTCGAATGAGTAATATTAATTACTTTATCGTTATACTTCATAACATTAACGTTTGAAAAGCTCTTGCTTTCTAATATGAACCCTGGATCATCGTTCTATATTCAATCTACACCATCATTTCGTATAATCACTACGTATTTTTCTAAAACTAATATTAGTAAAAGAAAAGTATTAATAAATACATATTATCAATATTCTACGTCATTTCTCTTTGCAACTATAAAAAACAACATCTTAAAAGAGACTTATAAGCTAAGTCTTTACACTTTCTTTAATATAACAGATATGTGACTATATATTAATGTAATAAAAACATTTTTCCCGATAAAAAGCACCCTTATTTCATAATTCCTATGTATGTAGGAACATAATATTAACCAATACTCAAAAGAAACTGTACCCGTTACATATTATATTTGACGGCATAATAAAAATTCATAAAGTTTGAGAGCAAACTAATACACTCTTATATAGAAACTCGGGGAAATCTTTACACTAACTTATTTACTCATAGACAAAAGAGCTGCCAGTCGGAGTGTATCAAAACAAAATAAATCACATTATATGTATCTATAAGGAGTTTACATTGAAGATATAAGAGTTGGATTAAAATATCGTTTAATAATTAAATATTAAGAGTTTTTCTTTTTAATCTCAAGTAGATTAACTTAATTTCTATTTATAATATTCTTTTATTTTTAAATTCATCTACTCTACTGTATACAAAGATAAAATAAAGATTTATTTTGTACGTATCCAAGACATGACGAGGGTAAAAAGGAGGTGGAAGTTTACGATGATCCTACGTGCTGACAACGAAACTAAATCGTGAGAGAAGGCAATTGGACCGTTATTAAACGAATTTTTTTCGGTTTGTTAAAAAAACACCAATTTTAACCCATTTTGAAATTGACTCGACAGGTGTCATTTTGAACATTTTATGAACACTCATGCACAGAAAAAGTTAACGGGTAGGTACTTACTGTAGATGTATTATTGTATACACAATAATAATCTAACGGAAATCGATAAAATATTACAAAATATATTGTTTCAAAGACTAAAATATAAAAGATAGTTAATTTTCAAAAAGACATAATAAAAAGACCGCTTCTTGGGAATAATTTTTTTATGAAAAGGTTATTTCGGTACAGAAAAAGAAAAACTAATTACATCTCTTTCAAAGAGAATTTAAAAATCTTAAATTAAAACATTTTTATAGAAACACAGCTCATTGTTAGCAAAAATATACAATTTCTGTCTAATTTGACTACATTATAAGAAAACTAAATGTATATATGATTCTACAAATCATGGATTTTTGAAAATTTATCTTAATAAATATGAGTATGTTACAAGTTATGATACAGATAATTATATTTACTTATAGAGATTAGATTGAATGTCTACTAAAAATAACAGGTGTTAGTTGTAAATGGGTCTATGTTTAGAAAATTTAAAGTGTTTTCTTGCAAACAGCAAGCGACTTTGAAAGTTTTTTTTTTAACTAAATTGGATTGAACAGTATGGGAAAAATCAACCACTTGGAGTAGGTGCTAATTATTTAAAGTGGGTATAAAATTTTCAAATGTAATAAAAACTAAAAATTTTGATTATGCTTTAGAGGTACAAACTTAGCAATATTATAGAATTACACAAATACAAACAGAATCATAATGTATTTAATATTGTATCTATTTTAGGATTATAATCATAATATTCAGATTGTAAATTTCTACAACTACCTTATTATTTAGTGAAATTTGACTAGACTAGCAATATTATGTTTGCATCACATTAATTAATATAACTCTTAAGAGTTACGTGACAGTATTGATTACTCTGACACTATTCACATTTTTTGACAGTATCGTATTTATCATTCATAATAACATATTAAAACAGAAGTTACTGGGAATATCAAAATATTGAAATATTAAAATCTAATAGGTAATGGAATTTTTATCTTAAGTAGAAAATAAAGCGTAGCATTTTGATATTCAATAAACTTTAATGTAAAATATTATTATTATTGTATAAAATATTATTTAGTTACTGTCGTTTTTTTTAATATTAAAGGAGATTGTTTTTGTTGTCACGTTTTTCTTAATTATAATGAAGACGAAATAGAAGGCTTAATCGTTGGTCTGTACATAAATTATGCACTGAACTGTTACAACATTTCTGCTTCAGTAGATAAGGCCTATCACTTCAAGTTGACCATATTCGAATACAATGGACATTTGAAAACTTCCTAAGCCAAAAAAAAATAAACTATATTTTAGATTTAAAAAGGTAAATTTACCTACACCTAAACCAAACGAGGAGTTAATCCGTTTCAATGGTGATAGTCTTGGAACACTGGGTGACTAGGATTTTATAATGTCTTTTGGCTTGTTGAATTAGATATGCTTTGAGTCACGTGAAAATATTTTAGGTGGCCCTGCGGACACTGTAGTTAAAATTGAGGTACTATGTCAAACTATATGAGTACAAAAAAAGCATTGTTGGAAAGTTGGTAATATTTTAAACAATTTTCATTTTAGTATGAAAGATAAGAATTATTTTATAGCCCTTTGTCAAACTTTAAGAATACAAATCTTATATTAGCGTTGTATAAGTCATGTGATATTCATGAAACACCAGTAATTTGGAATATTCCATACACAAATGTACCAATACGTTCGCATACATATGTGAAGACGTAGCTATTCACAATGAAACTCGTCAATCCATTTTCTAGGCGATGAGCGAGCTTTGCCATGAGTTTCTCTCAGAGATTGAATCCAATACGAAATTATTCGTCAGATAACAAAACCAATCGACATAGCTCAGTCGGTTAGCAAGATAAAGTGACGGAAGGTTGGCCACAAATATTGCAGGAACCACGGTTGTTGGCTCAAATAGATTTTAGAGTAGAGACTACCAACAGGAAAATTAACAATAGTACGCTTTTTAAGTAGAGTGATGATATTTGTGAGGTGTCAAGGAGAGACTCGAGAATCCTTATTCTAAGGATTGTAACGCAGTAGCGTACTGTGACAGGGACGTTTATCCAGTAGTGGTTCAATTTGGTGAATAGTGATAACTTCACATATGTTGTATAAAAAAAGATAACAAATTTAAACAGCCATTTAGATTTTAAAGTATTTTACATGTATACGATGACAAACTAACGGATACACTATTACTTTTACTATAAGCGTAACGCCCTAAAAGCAATACTTTACGTTTTCAATTTAAGCTCAATCACATTGAAGTAAAATTATAGCTCCATGACAAAAGCTGTGTAGGCTCCTCCAATAATAGTTTTACATTGTTGCTTCGTATCAATACCAGTCAGGAACACGCTCAATTTCCTCGTGTCAGTTCTGACTCAGATTCTGGCTCTGGTTCAGGTATGGATTAATAAAATGGCAGAAGTTTGAGTATTTGACTAGAAAGTAGGTAATATTTTCTTTTCATATATGTATTTTGTGTACAAAAAGAAAACAATTTTATCATAATAAACTTTGGACGATACAGATATGTATATATTATAATATCTTAATGTAGTGTAATCAATTTGTGCTAAGTGTTTTTGTGACTAATTATTATTATTGGTAAACATGTTATATGTATAAACTTTTTTTATTTTGATTACTGTAACTTGTCACACTCAAGGATTTTTTTATTTAATATTATACTGTAAAGATTGTGGACCTAAATAACATTATATGTAATAAATAATACTATTTAGTTTTAGATGTTGGTTTTTAAAATAAAAAGTAATTATAAAACAAACCACAAACGTTCATATTGTTGCGTGAAATTCATTGTAAAAGTAATTGAAAAGATCCGTTATGGTAATTTATATTCAATTAGGTACATGGGTTTACCTAATATACTAATACTTTAGCGTAATAAACTATGTAGTACATTCATCTAAAGTTAACAAATTCTACATATATTCATCTGGAAAGTTTTAATACATTCACTTTATATTAAATTATAATTTTAAGTCAGTTAATATTTCACGAGCAAAATAACTCGTGAAATATTCTTTGTTATTTTAAATTAAAGTTCTAAATTACAAATTACGACGTTAATGTAGAAGCTAAAAACATTTGTTGCTAATAAAAAAAATGTTTGTCATTCATATATGTACAAAGATTTTTTGAAGTATATTTTACTTTAAAATAAATAGTGTTGTTCTGTACAATATCTTAGAAAATAATTAAAAATTTAATATCTTCAGGAAACTACCAGCGATTAACACGAGAAAAAAAGGGCAAGAGGGTTGAAATTATGACCGTATCAAATAAGTCTAATTATGCATAAAAATACCTAATATTGCTCAGGTTATTATCAGCATGTTAGGAGGTATAAGCCATACTATACCACGCTGGCTAGACGGGTTGGTATAGGGTTTATTTCGAATTTTCCTTTTCTGGTATTGGTAGTCTTTACCTTTTCCCTTAGTTGCCTTCTACGACACCGAAGAGATGGGGTAGCGACAAATGTATTCTAAAGCCGTCGCTACACGGCGCATGGTAAATTACGTCGGGTTTTCTCCTCGCCTTTACCGCAATACCTGAAGACCAAAGTCTTCGACCAATGCGTCCTACCGGTTATGACCTGCGGGGCTGAGACGTAGACACTCACTGTAGGACTAGTCCACAAACTCAAAGTCGCTCAGCGAGCTATGGAACGAGCTATGCTCGGCGTTTCTTTGAAGGACAAACTTCGATACGAAGAAATTCAACGAAGAACCGAGGTTACCGACATAGCTCGTAGAATAAGCCAGCTGAAGTGGCAGTGGGCTGGTCACATCTGCAGAAGGACCGACGCACGGTGGAGCAAACGTGTCCTTGAGTGGAGACCGCGTCTCGGCAAACGTAGAGTAGGACGCCCCCAGCTAGGTGGACCGATGACCTTAAATAGGTCGCTGGGTCTCACTGGATGCGGAAGGCAGAGGACCGAGTGTTATGGCGCGTGATGGGAGAGGCCTATGTCCAGCAGTGGACTGCAATAGGCTAAATGATGATATTATCAGCACGTCCATTCCAAGTATATATTTTGCACTCCTTTCTAGTCCACCACTTGTATAAAATTGAAAATACTAAGAAGCATTTCTTTGATTTAGAGATTTTCGAAGTAACAGCTACAGTGGGTACTAACAGTGGGGGTTCAGGGAAAGTTAAAAAGCTGAAAAAAATTGATTAATTCTTAGGAAAACCCTAAAAACAGCGTTTTTCTATTTCCCATACAAACGTTTTTTGATATTCGATTTGACAACTAACTAATATGTTAATCATTCTGTTCGATTGAAACAGGAAAAATTTAATAAATACCAATACCTGGTTATTTAAGACGGAATAGAGTTCGCCCGGTCAGCTATACATATATTACTAATGACGAAATTAACGCGGAAGAAGTCGCAGGCCACAACTAGTTATTAGATAAAATACCTATAGAAAAGAGTTATTAAAAGAAACTCCCTCAAATATTATATTAATTTTTTATTTCGATTTTGTTCAGACTGCTCTAAATATTCTTTTTATATTACAGATTTTTATTTATTACGAGCTAAATCAGGACCACATAATTGAAAATAATAGTATATGAGTAAAATATATACTTTATATATATAAGTTTCAATATTTTACATTGTATGCACATATTAACTGGAGCATCAAACCGTAAATAACTATTCCAAGAAGACTTACCGTCATTCAATAATGGCTGTACGTCGAAATCCGGTTTTCCAGAAGGGCAGAGTGGCAGGGCGGGTGACGAGGACACGACGCCACCTTCTGCGTTTTCCTGGTAATTTATATATAACACAATGAGTATATAAATGTATATATAACATATGGTATAAACAAGATTTCGCAGAAACATTGTACTTCTATATAATATAAAAATATTATTAAAAGATGTATCGTATAAACATTTTATATGCCAACAGCACTGCATTATGGAATAAAAAGTTATATTCTTACTCAGAGCACATCCATTTTTAGTTTTATTCAATAACTTCAAAGTAAAGTTAGTCTCTGTGGGTCTATTTAACAGTAAATGAGGTTGAAGTAGAGAAACATGTATGGGTGTATTTACAAATGTCTGAACTCACATTTTTATTTTTTTTCCGGTCAGTGTCTACTGGCATTTACCCGGAAGTCTACCACTTTATAAATTCCTAAACAAAATTCCACAACACATTCAAGATAAAGTGTAATAAATATTCTGAATGACTTCCTTAACAAAAATAAATGCAGTAACATATTTAATCGAGGCTCAATCATCACTAAAATAATTCGATACAATTATCCATATAAATAAAGTATATACTTTATTCAATATAACTTTGTATTTACGTATTATTAATATTATTTGCCAACTAGGCATTTATTGTTTTAGACATGACGTGTTTCATAGATAAAGACAACACATCATTATGTCAAATCTATTGCTGTTTTTTTAAAAAAAGTGAATTCACATTTTTATCTTTCCCCATGCAAATGCTGCTTGGGGGATGTTGAAAAATCTTTTTTTTATTTCGATAAAATAATAAATATAATTTAATTTAGATACATGACAGTAAAGAAAATTTTGTTTAATTAGTAATTTTACTCAAATTTCCATCTTTGTATATGAACTAAATAGTTTCCTTTTTTTATTTCTTTATTTTATCTGTATTGGTTTTAAATTTTTATGAAGTATAAATTAACAATTACATCTCTTTGATATATGTCATGTCATCAAATACTGTCATTTTCTATTACAAACTCTTTAGTGGTAAAGTAGATTACATCAAACCTTTTTCGATAAGTACAATTAAATCAAATATATTTTCCAATGAATCATATAATTCAGATTGTTTAAATAAAAAAAGGACCAGGAAAAAATTCTTAGGCTATTAATAACGAAATCGCTTCATAAATAGTAACAGCTCTTTTTGAGGTTTGATATTTATTTTTTTCATACGTTGACCGTATTGTATACACATAAAAATAATAAGATACGAAACATTAAAAAGCTTTGAATAAAAAGTATATATACATGTATGTATGTGTTTTAATACACATACGGCATTTTATAAAACACAGTATAATTCCGGAGTTTTGAAATCCGAAGTCTTCTTATAAGATGCATTTTTAAGCCGATATCTCTATAAACCAATTTATTATAAAATAAGAAACCTTTTTTTGTCAGATTCTAAATACTTTTACGTCATAATTTGTGAGAAAATGTGATATTCTTAATCGAGAAATATTATGTTCTCGTCAGGAAAATTGATGTATTAATCAAATCATTGGTATACAGTTACCTTTAATGCTAGGATCACGACCCTAGAGAGATCTCATGATTGTAACGTCGTACAATATCGTCCGCTAGGTATTAAAATTCACAATCTTTTGAGTTCGTTTTCCCGTAAAGGAAATGTCGCATTGAATGAATCTCACAATGTACGTGAGAATATAATCGGATGTTCAGATTTGCTAGCTTTCTTTTGTCCATGTCTTTCAGTTTTATCTAGATTTTTATTTTTAAAAATATATTATTTTTAGATCTTTGTAAAGTATGTTGATATATATGTATATATGTATATACGAGGGTCAAAATGAAAGTTCTTAGAACTGGCCACTTATAAACAATATAATAAAAAAATTATTCTAAAATTTTAAAATAGAACTCTTTGCCAATATAACTGAGTATATATTTCATATATTTGTCATTTGTTTTACGATTTGGCGGTAAAGTGAAAATTGTCTGTGTGACGTCAACATGAATTTAACACGAGAAAATTGTCGTGCAATGATTTTTTATGACTTTAGATGTCATTTAAGTCAACAAGAAAGTTATGATAGACTACGATTGGCCTTTCACGATGAGGCCCCATCTCGTGCGACTGTTTACAACTGGTTTAATGAGTTTAAACGTGGTCACACTAATCTCAATGATGATTTACGTGAGGGACGGCCTTCTACGGCGACGACTGAAGATAACATCTGTGTTGTGCGGCGTATGATAGAGACTAACAAAAGAGTGACCTATCAGCAGATTCAGACAAGCTTAGGCATCGGTATGAGTCAAGTGCACAAAAGCCTCCACGAACATTTAGCGGTCAGGAAGCTTTGCGCCCGGTGGATACCTCATAATTTGACTGAGGCTCAAAAACTCCATCGTGTGGATTGGTGCCGTAAAATGATTGAAAGATTTAATAGAGGTGACTCAAATGCTGTGTTCGACATACTAACAGGTGACAAAAGCTGGATTTACTGTTATGATCCTGAAACCAAAAGATAATCTGCTCAGTGGGTGTGTCCTTTCGAGGAGTTACCAAGTAAAGTGAAGAGAGATCGAAGTGCGGAAAAAATAATGGTGGCCTCTTTCTTACGAAGGATAGGTCATTTCGCAACAATTGTGTTAGTGGATCAAAAAACAGTTTCTGCAGAATGGTACACTACCAATTGTTTGCCGCTTGTATTGGAAAAAGTTCGAGAGAAACGACCTCGCAGTAGGATCCTCCTTCACCACGACATCGCCTCGTCGCACACCGCCAAGCGAACGATCGACTATTTGGCGACATCAAACGTTGAATTACTGGGTCACCCGCCGTATAGCCCCGACCTCGCGCCTTGTGATTTTTATTTATTTCCAAAAATTAAAGAAAAACTTAAAAGAAAGCGGTTTATGAATGCTGAAGAAGCGGTGGCTGCGTATTTCGATGCCATTGAAGAGACCCCTAAGGACGAGTGGGCAAAGTGCTTTTCCCAGTGGTTCCATCGCATGCAGCGGTGTATTGACGTGAATGGACAATATTTTGAAAAGATATACTAAAACTAATAACTGCCTAATGTAATCAGTTTTTGATTTTCTAAGAACTTTCAGTTTGACCCTCGTAGTATATACAATATATATATTCAAATATACATTTGTATACGCATATAACGATACTGATAAAAATTGCTCTTATTTTTTTGTTCACTTTATCATTTCATACAGTCCTAGCAAGTCTTATCGTGAAACATCGGTTCATTAGTTAATTCTCCATCAGCATATGTAGTATAATATATCTATCTACAAATTTTGAAGTTATATTGAATATTTGTATACAGATATGTTATTATCTGTATACAAATATTCAAACTTTAATAATAATTTTGATAATATAGCTAACAATATTATCCCCACCCATTTCCTGTAAAACTTATCAAACTTAATTTGCGTACACCTCGTTCTGCAAAAAACACTTCCGGAAAATATACCATTTACAATAGACCCAAATGTACATTTACTAGACATGTACATTTACCAAATTGATTGAGGTGTTTTAAATAAAAAATATGAAAATCCATACTACTTATATTTTGATGTTTATAAAATACATGAAAGATGGACAAAAGAAGAGTGAAAATACCACCAAAAATGATAACAAAAATTACTAGGCTATCAAAAAGTATATTTGTAACTGATCAGCTACACATAACAAATAATTAAACCACACTACTTATTAAAAACTATCAACTGTCAATCAAGGTAAACTTTAAAAGGTTTGACTAAAAAAACGTTTTATCTACTTGATCGCTTAGGAACATAGAAATTGCGTTAAATCTGGTACGGTCATACGTTGAGTTTCCTAAAAAAACCTGTAATTAATTCGGAAGGATGGTTGAAGTATAGATAAAATTTGTCTATAAGTATAAATTACAACAAAAATAAATGTCTTAGAGTTGGTTATGTGAATCGAACTAGAATCCATAATGACATTTTTATATATGGAATTGCTTAATAAATAACTTCATATACTAATTACTGGTGTTTTAGCCAGTTTTTTACCACATGTCACTGTCATTAATTACGGATATATTATAAATTAAACCGTGTTCTTAATTAAAATATCACAACACAAATGAAAAAGCAAAAGATTTTTTTTAATGTATTTAATAAGTAAATTATACAACCCATTTTAAAATAATCATCTTTAAAAAACTACTCTTCTTTACACCTTATTACTTATTTTGATGTGATTGGCTACTTGTCAAAAGGAATGAGAGCAATCAATACGATTTTTTTGTTTTACAAATGGAAATACTTCATTTTTGATTCAATCAAAAATCTTGGTAGATATTCTAGAGTTGCATTTTGAACCCCTATTTTTTATTACTAATAAGTCCATGAAATTTTTCATAATAGTTTAATAACCACACTATTTCACGATTAAAATATCATTTTAAAAATAGATTTAATTTGTTTTAAATTATCTGAATGGCAGCTTTTTCCGGAATTCATTAAACGCTGCAAAACCTCGTTAATTTCATGAAGTGAAATGTAAATCGCAGCCTGTCTGAAAGATGATTCAAAAATGTACAATATGTAAATTTTGTCATTGACACACTTTATAAACATATGTTAATACATATGTCATACTAAAATAATTATAATAATTATTACCATCTGAGAAATATGCTCCTTTATTTATTGTACTCTAAAAGTTCTTATCATGATTGTAAGAGCACATGTCTTAATAAAAAAATTAATAGACGTAAATTCTAAATAAACTAAATACATATAAAAGTGAACAAAGTATGTATTTTATGGATTCTTTACTGTTATTATAAGATTTTAACTATTACTTGACTGAACATAACATATCAACGACCCCAGGCTAATTGAATGAAAAGATGTGATTGCTATTTGAGTTGCTGACGGGTCGTCGAGTTTGATTGCTCAGAACCGCGTATTTACTCGTTCTGGCCCGAGAATGTACTTACAACTTGTTTTTTCAGCTTTTTTGTTCTCTTGAGTACAACTGGTTG